CCAAAAGGAAAGGACAAAGCCACATGCACCCAGGGTGTCACACCCTTCGGGCTGCACCCGGGCAGGCCTCAGAGTGGCGAGGGGCCAGGGCAAAGGGCACGCCTTGCCCTGCCTGTGCCGCCTCTCCCAGGAACTGGAAAAGCCCTGTCTGGCGAGGGGGCAGAAGGACTCAGCGCCCCCGGACCCCCAAATGCTGCATGAACACATTTTGAGGGGAGCCTGTGCCCCCAGGCGGGGGTCAGGCCGCCCCAGCCCCTCTCCTTTTCCTGGACTCTGGCCGTGCGCGGCAGCCCAGGTGTTTGCTCAGTTGCTGACCCAAAAGTGCTTCATTTTTCCTGCCCGCCCCGCACCTGGGGCAGGCCAGTCACGTGTTAAGTTGCGCTTCTTTGCTGTGGTGTGGGTGGGGGCGGGATGAAGAGTGAACACCTCGCTGGCTCCGCCGCCCTGAGGGTGCTCACGCGCAGGTTTCAAGTCTGGGTTCTGGTGTCCACTCACCCACCCCCACCCCCCAAAATCAGACAAACACTACTTTGTCTGACCTGCTGTGGCCTCTGAGACATGTTCTATTTTTAACCCCTTCTTGGAATTGGCTCTCTTCTTCAAAGGACCACGTCCTGTTTCTCTTTCTCCTCGACTCCACCCCAGCTCCCTGTGAAGAGAGAGTTAATATATTTGTTTTATTTATTTTCTTTTTGTGTTGGGATCGGTTCGTGTCCAGTCCCGGGGGTCTGATGTGGCCATCACAGGCTGGGTGATCCCAGCAGCCCTTCCCCTTGCCCCAGGCCGTCATCTCCCCACCTCACCCCTCTCCTCCGTTTTGCTGACTGCTTTTCATCTGAGTCACCATTTACTCCAAGCATGTATTCCAGACTTGTCACTGACTTTCCTTCTGGAGCAGGTCGCTAGAAAGAGGCTGTGGGCAGGAAAGAGAGGCTCCTGTTTCTCATTTGTGAGGCCGGGCTCTGGCTTTTCTGCCCTGGATTCTCCCCCTGCCCTCTCCCCTCAGCAATTCCTGCAAAGGGTTAAAAATTTAACTGGTTTTTACTACTGATGACTTGACTTAAAAAAATACAAAGATGCTGGATGCTAACTTGATACTAACCATCCGATTGTACAGTTTGGTTGTTGCTGTAAATATGGTAGCGTTTTGTTGTTGTTTTTTCATGCCCCATACTACTGAATAAACTAGTTCTGTGCGGGTACAGCACTGTCACTGCCTGCTTCTGTGTGGCACCCTCTCCTCCCACAGGCAGGAAGGCCTGGTCTCTGGAAGGCAAAAGAGCTGGCAGGGCCCAGAAGGCCCCACCAGGTCAGGGGGACTCAGACCCACTGGCTGATAAGCCTGTTCCTTGACCTGTGTCCACGACATCACTCCCAAATGGCAGGTCATGAACAGAACACAGAGCCCATGGCCCGGCATTTCCAAGGAAGACATGGGTGGGCTGGAAAGCGTCCTTTTCACCAGGACGGAAAGGACTTCCGTGGCGGGAGAGGCTCCGCAGGGCAGGCGGGCTTCCAGCCCCGCCCCTCAGGGCTGAGTTCTAGACAGGGATGAGTTTTCTGGGGCAGAATTCAAGAAGCAGGGAGGGCTGAGTGGAGAGGCTGGTGGGAATTGAATGGTGCTAAGTGACTCTGCCTCCTAACTACACTGCTCGGGTTGTTTTTTGTTTTTCCCAATGGAAAAGGAAGCACCTACTCATAATGAAGCCAAGTATGTGCTTTGCAACTTACTTCTTGTCCTAAGTTTTGGTTTTGTATATATATGATATATATTTATAAGTATATATGCTTTTTAAATTTAATAGAGACAGGGGTCTCACTATGTTGATCAGGCTGGTCTTGACTTCCTAGGCTCAAGTGATTCTCCCACCTTGGCTTCCCAAAGTGCTGGGGTCACAGATGTGAGCTACCGCATCTGGTCTAGTTCCAAGTTTTGCGTTTGCCAAAGCTCCATTCAATAAGCTAGAAAGGCAGGTGGGCACGGTGGCTCACGCCTGTAATCCCAGCACTTTGGGAGGCCGAGAAGGGCAGATCACCTGAGCTCAGGAGTTTGAGACCCACCTGGCCAACATGGTGAAACTCTTGTCTCTACTAAAAATACAAAAAAAAAAAAAAGCCGAATATGGTGGCTTATGCCTATAGTCCCAGCTACTCCGGAGGCTGAGACAGGAGAATTGCTTGAACCTGGGAGGTAGAGGTTGCAGCAAGCCAAGATCGAGCCACTGTACTCCAGCCTGAGTGACAGAGCGAGACTCCATCTCAAAAAAAAAAAAAAAAAAAAAAAAAAAGGCCTAGAAAGGGAGTTAACCTGGGGACAATATAGGGCGATAATTAAGAACACAAACCCTGCTGGGCACAGTGGCTCATGCCTGTAATCCCAGCACTTTGGGAGGCCAAGGTGGGTAGATCACTTGAGGCCAAGGTGAAACCCCATCTTTACAAAAAAATACAAAAAAAAAGTTAGCTAGCTGTGGTGGTACGTGCCTGTAGTCCCAGCTATAAGGGAGGCTGAGGTGGGAGGATGTCGTGAGCCCAGATGGCAGAGGCTGCAGTGAGCCAAGATCAAACCACTGCACCCAGCCTCGGTAATACAGCCAGACCTGTCTCAAAACAAACAAACAAACAAACAAAAAAAAAACCCTGGAACCAGACTGAGTGACTTAATCTTTCTAAGCTTTAAGTTTCTCTGCCTGCAAAATAAAGATGATGATAAAAGCGTCCACTTTATTGAACTTTTATGCGGATTAAGTGAGTTAACACATGTAGTGCTTAGAACAGTTCATAGTACATAGCAAGAGGCCGGTAAACACTGGCTTTCGGTGTTGTTGCTACTGGGTGCGGTGGAAGAGTGCATAGAAAAAGTAGAAAGCCAGGCCCAAAGGGAAGTAGACAGGCAGGTGGCTGAACAAGAAGCGCAGCCGTGGCAGGAGGGGCTCCTCCCTGACTGGCACTGCCTACTGAAAGTGCTGCTGAAGCAGGTTTGGCATGGGAGGGAGTGGGGTAGGGACAAAACTCAAGGCTGACCAAGAGGGCAAACAGGACGCGCCTTGCCCTCTCCAGCCACCAGGTGGCAACAACACATGGTCTGCAGCTTGTTTTGCCTCTAACGACCCACCCAGGGTCACACATGGCTCACACCCAACGCACACAAACGTGTCACCTTCCAGCTTCGCCCAGGTGTGTACCTAAGCCTGCTGACCTTCCAGTGCTTCTACTGGGCCAGGAGCCACAAACAGGCCCTGCTCACTAGACACCACTGCAGGACACAGCTGGGAAGCACATCTGAAGTTCCTTGCCTTACACCAAATTCCTCCAGAGCCCAGTATTCCGTGTCTGTCTGCATACCCCTTCCCTCCCACCAATTCCTGGAATCCGGAGCTGCAGGCGTTGCTGCAGAGCTCAGGGAAAAGTGTCTAGGCACTGTCGCTCAAGTTGGCAAATGTGCTAGGTGAACTTTGGGATCAGCCACAAAAGGGAGAAAGCAGCGGCGGGCCCCTGGCTCCAGGGACAGGGCAAGGACACTTTGGTGCCTCAGCCAGGCATTTATGGCTATATAGGCATGGGTGGGGCACCAGCTGGCAGTCCTACTTCTCTTTGCCCACTTACCTTCTGCTTTTCTTGAGTCTTGGCCTGGCTTTCAAGGAGGGAGGAGGGAAGTTTCCTCAAAACTCAGAAGGAATTGAACTGGTTCTGATTACCAGAGTTAAAGGCTGCAAAAAAAGGGAAGCCCTACACCAAATGTGTTAAACACGTCTTTGTCATTCCTTCAGCAAACACTCACCGTCTTGCACTCAAATATTTTCTGAATAAATAAACCAAATGCTCTGTGAGCAGTGCTACACACAGGTCACAACACTAGAGCACAGCAGAGGCTTCCAGATCCTGATGCTCACCAGTCTAACGGGAGATGAGGAGAGCGCAGACAACCCCAGTGATGTAAGCTGGAGCATGACAAGGTGTTCCGGCTGCTCTGGCTGAGGTGACTGGGGGAGATGAACACCACTAAAGGGCCTTCATGTCTCACAGGGAGAGCAAATAAGAAGCTGGTGTGGGCCGGGCATGGTGGCTCACGTCTATGATCCCAGCACTTTGGGAGGCCAAAGTGGGTGGATCACCTGAGGTCAAGAGTCTGAGACCAGCCTGGCCAACATGGTGAAACCCTGTCTCTACTAAAAATACAAAAAGTAAGCCAGCGTGGTGGCATGCACCTGTGGTCCCAGCTACTCAGGAGGCTGAGGCAGGAGAATTGTTTGAACCTGGGAGGCGGAGGTTGCAGGAAGCTGAGATCGTGCCACTGAACTCCAGCCTTGGCAAAAGAGTGAGACTCTGCCTTGAAAAAAAAAAAAGAATAAAAAAAAGAAGCTGTTGGTTTCTAGGAGGCCCCATTCCTTTGCCAGTAAAGGACATTCAAGTTTAAATAAAGAATCTACCTAGCCTAGCTTAATAGCCTCACATACTGTGAATTAGCCACACTTAACTTTCATCTGGACCTTCCAATGATACAAGAGACCTGGGGAAAGGCAGCCTGTCCTTGTCTAATGCCAACAAGGGGAGTAGTCACAGCCTGATGAGCCAGAATCTCAAGGCCCTAGGGCCTATTCAGGCCCCTGTCTAGGAGGCCCATCCTGGCCCCCTCCCTGGAATTATGGAGATTTACTCCAAGCTTGTTAGAAATTGGAGCAGGGGCTGGGCGCAGTGGCTCACATCTGTAATCTCAGCACTCCAGAAGGTGGAGGTGGGTGGATCACCTGAGGTCAGGAGTTTGAGACCAGCCTGGCCAACATGGTGAAACCCTGTCTCTACTAAAGATACAAAAAATTAGCCAGGCGTGGTGGCGGGCGCCTGTAATCTCAGCTACTCAGGGGGCTGAGGCAGGAGAATTGCTTGAACCCAGGAGGTGGAGGTTGCAGTGAGCCAAGATTGCGCCACTGCATTTCAGCCTGGGTGACAAAGCGAGACTGTCTAAAAAAAGAAATCGGAGCATGATCGACTTCCAGATATACAGAGAATATAAAAATGCCTTCACTTTATTTTAGAAAAATGAAGACTGAGAGAGTAAGCTTATCACAAACTGGCCTATTAGGAGTCACGGAATTCACAGGAAACAATTTCTGAAGACCAGGTGCCTGTTGCCGCCTCTCCAAGCAGGCCGGAGTCCAGTAGAGTATGAGATTCAGGAAGACAGCTCCTCAGAGAGCAGGAAGGTTAGCTACAGAGACCACTCACATGGAAATGTCCAGTGAACCAATGCCCGGGAAGAAGATCAAATTCTCTGGGGCTGACCACAGAGTGGGGGTGGATAAAGACAAACCACTTGACTGTACCTCTCATTTCTGTTTGTTCATTTCACTGCTGGAAGGTGACCTCTTTTCCCCTAATCTTCTTTCAACCCAGAGAGTTTAAGTCTTCTCCAGCTCAATCCTAATCCACCCCATTTCCCATGGTCTCTATCCTGGGGGACCAGCCCTGGTGGCATCTCTTCCTCCTGTCCCTGTGCCAGAATCTGCTGGAGTCAGGGTCTGCTGGGTAGAGGCAAGTCCAGGAACTGATTGTAGTGGTTTGCTACTGAAGTCTTGCTTGCCGTCCTGACCTCTTTACCTAAAGAGATAGAAGGAAGAACTGCTTTAAAATGCCATCTTTCCTCAAGCCCATTTGTCACCCAGCAGAGTTCAAGCTCCTCAGGGTGGGAAGAAATGGGACCCCCCCCCTTCCCCTGCTCCCAGCTCCCCTCCTCTCTCAATCTTTCCACGCAAAATTCAGGGCTAATGTGCCTAACAGTTTAGAATCCCAGATGATGGCAGGGTAGGGAGACGGGACGGACAAGGAAGGACCAGACTGACCTGGTAAGTCCTGGGACTGCCACTTTCCTGGGGGGCTGCACATTGCTGCGAGTGGTACCCATGACAGGAAGATTTAGTCGCTGGGAAACAGGAACTTCATGGGAGTTAACAAAGGAAATGAGTTAGCAGCAAGTTTAACTGACCTCAAAAAGAAATACTGGATGCAGGGAGTGAGTGTGGGATTAGTGCTCTCCCCTCAGCCATGATGTATTTGGAAACTAAGACTTAGGCTCTGTCCAGCCCCATATCCTCTCTGCAACTCAGCCTCCCCATCTTCCAATTGAATTGCAATGAGGATGGCAAAAGTGGTCCCCGTTGTCAGCTCTGGGAGAGTGAGGACGTGCCGGGCAAGGGCAGGTATTCCTCCTTCTGATCTCTTACCCTTGTGTCCACTTTCCTTCACTCTGTGTCCTGCAGCGCTTGGTCTTGGAAGCCCTTTCCGAGTTGACAGAGAATCCGGAGGGAGGGCACCTCTGCCAGGTGGTACACTCCGGCTGGTGAGTGGCATTCGGCTGGCAGGCCTGGGGATGGCCGAGGGAAGGGGCAGCTGACTGGAAGATTTCGCAGCTGCTCCCTGTGGCCGGGGCAGGCGTTGAGAGTTACTGGTCGAAGGCTGTGGGGCCAGGACAGGTCTGATGGGGGTAGGTGGACCTGGTGGAGAGCAGTAGAGAAATTTCAGAGTCAGTGCCACAAACTCCCCACTCCCACTCACCCGCAACTTGGCTGCTCAGGTCTCCTCACTGGCTGCTGCTCTCCCACTGGGCCCAGCTTTCCCTCGGACTGGGGGCGTCGATCGGGTAAGAGGAGAAGATGCTGGGCTTTTGGATGCAGGGAACAGACTGCAAGTGGGTGACTCCTGAAACACAGAGAGGGAAAAAAGACTAGAGTGGAGAAAATATTCTGTGGCTTAAGGAATTAAGAACTAGAGGTGGAGCGTTGTTTAGATCCCAGTAAAGAAGGGTAGATGTTTGCTGCTAACATCCCCATCACCATCACTATTGCCAATACCATTTATGGAGTTTATTATAGACATTACAGAGCTTATACTCAGACACTATGGTAAGAGTTTTTGTTCTCTTTGTTTATGGTTCTCATTTAATTCCAACAATTCTAGATGAAGAAATACTATCCCCGTTTTACCAATAAGGAAACCACTCTCTGCCTGCATCATGGCATGCGCTCTGTCTGGGGCGCACTTCCAAATCGGTCCTCTCAACTCACCCTCTTCATGTTGGAGGGCCTCTTTCCAGGCGATGCCCGAAGAGTCCTGACTGACCCCTTCCTGTCACTGCTCCGGAGTCGGGGCGTCAGGCTGCTTGGGGAGGGGGTGCTCCGAGCCAAAGAGTTCACAGTAGGCAGCAGGTCTCGGACAGGACTGTCCTTGAGCACAAAGGTCTCTCGCCGAGGGCTGGGCTTCACTCGGTGAGGCCCCAGGCCCTCGCCCGTGCTCTCCCGCTCCTGCAGGGCACACCGCTCCAGCTGGGCGGCCAGCCGGTTGGCCTCATCGAGGATCTCCTCCAGCTTCTCCGGGCTGAGGGGGCCTAGGCTGAACCTCAGATCCTGGGGAGCAGGAGCCACTGCATTTGGGTCACTTCGGTGGGAGAGGCCCCGTCGAAGTGGTTTCTCTGGAGTCACCAACACTGTTATGTCTTCTTCCTCACGGCTGAGACAGGAAACAAACCAGGCATCATGCCCATGCAAAAGACAACAGAAGACTATGCAAGGGAGACTGGGCAAAAGCCCCACAATGGAGCCAGGGACACAACCCCAGGCCCTGATGATGTCTGCGCTGGCTGTGAGATGTGGCCTCTGGGTGATGAGATACCTGGTTCTATGGGGCCTAATAGGCCTTTAGCATTTACTGACATCAGAAATGATGCCAGGATGCAGATGCAGCAAATCCACTTACCCTTCTTCTTAACACCCAGCTTCCCGCTTCTCTCCCTACTACCAATAGTGTCATAGAGGCCCGAGTCAACCAGCCACCCAGCAGCCCCGAGTGCACCGAACCTTGCTAAATTACCAACCCAAGTCCCGGAGGCCAATAATTCAGCAGTAAGGGGTTCGAGACAAAGAGGTGCTATTAGAGGAAAGTACGTGGGATAAAGAGGCTGGTACCTGTCAGATGGCGACAGCCCCCCAAAGTCCAAGGTCTCATCCACAATAAATTTTACATCTGAAGGGGAAAGAAGAATGAAGGCCAGTCACGGGTCCCTGATGCAGCTCTCCATTGCTGGGTCTCATTCCTCCCTCCCTCCTTTCCTTACCTTCCTCCAAATTCTCCATGTCCAGCCAGCAGGAGCGAGAGTCCACCTAGACCTGAGCTGGAGAGAAAAACATACCTTTCCTGAGGTATCCATCCTGCCCAGGGATCGCAGCCATATTCAGGCCAGGGGCGCGGGTCATGCTGGAGGCAAAGCAAGCGCCCAGGAGTGGCACCTGCCGCGTTACTACCCCTGCTATCTCCGGGAAAAGTGCGGAGGGCTCCTCCCACCGCCAGACCGCCCTGGAGCCGCCCCTCATGCTGGTCTCTCCTCACTGGGGGGTTCTGAACGCCCCATCTTCCTCCCCGCCACTATCCTCAGGGCTCTTCACCCCCCAAGCCACGTTTCCACTTCCCTGACACCACACGCAAAGCACGCCTCCAGCCCACCCTGTTTCCACTTCCCGCGCCGCCTTGTCTTCCACGCAAGTCTTCCCCCGGCAACCTAGCCCCGGGAATCTGCTCCGAGGGGGCGGGGCTCCTTTCGAATCTCTCAGGCCCCACCCACTCAAGCCACACACGCACCGTGATTGGTGAATCTTCAGGGGGCGGGGCTGCGGAGCTGCCGGCAGGAAGTCCGCCGGTGGGGGCCGGAGGAGAACCGTTCCCGGAAGCCTCCAATCCGGGAGGCTGAGGCGGAGCCCAGCGTCGAGGCCGGGAGTGCGCGTGCTGGCGTGCCTGGAGACCCTCTTTGCCGCTGGCAGATGGGAGCGGACCGCGGCTGGCTGGGAGGGAAAAAACGGACCCCCGAGTGTGGCCCTCGCGCCCCGCCCTCCTCCTGCTGCTGGGCCACGGAGCCTGCAGTCTCCAGAGCGATTGTGCTGCTTAAACCGACGCCCCGCGGGAGGAAATTCGTTTTCTTGGGCGCAGTCAATATGCAGGCTCCGCGTTGGCCGGGGGTCCTCAGGTGTGGTTTTTTCCAAGTTAAGGAAGCACCTGAACACTTACATTGTAGGCATTTGAGGTTCTCTAAGAAGTACATCTTCCATTGCCTCTTTAAGAACCTGACGCAGGTGTAAAGAAGGCAAGGGGCGGCCGGGCGCGGTGGCTCAAGCCTGTAATCCCAGCACTTGGGGAGGCCGAGGCGGGTGGATCACAAGGTCAAGAGATCAAGACCCCATCTTGGTCAACAAGATGAAACCCCGTCTATACTAAAAATACAAAAATTAGCCGGGCTTGGTGGTGCATGCCTGTAGTCCCAGCTACTTGGGAGGCTGAGGCAGGAGAATTGCTTGAACCCAGGAGGCGGGGGTTGCGGTGAGCCAAGATCGTGCCATTGCACTCCAGCCTGGGTAACAAGAGCGAAAACTCCGTCTAAAACAAACAAACAAAAAAAAGGGCAAGGGGCTTTTCACCCGGGCAGGCTTGGGTTCAAATTCAACCCAAGTTTAACGGACCTCAAAACACCAGTTTCGCTTTAGAGAGTCTGCCTTGAGTATATATCTGCCCTCTTTTCGTGAAAAGAGGATGGTGGTCCTCGCAGTTAATGATGTTAGGATGATCATGAAGGCGTTTTCTACTGTGTGCCCTTAGGGGATTTAGAGGGGGCGTTTGTAAGTAGCCCCCTCTGAAATAACAGCTGTGTTTGTAAAATGCTTAAGCCAACTTGTTAGGAGGGTTGTCTCTGTTGTTGCTAAAAGGGGCCTGTGCCACCAGTGAACGTGTCAGAGGCTTCGAACCAGAGCTACTCCATCTTGAATAGGGGCTGGGTAAAATAAGGCTGAGACCTACTGGGCTGCATTCCCAGGAGGTTAGGCATTCTCAGTCACAGGATAAGATAGGAGGTTGGCACAAGATACAGGTCACAAAGTCTGCTGATGAAACGGGTTGCAGTAAAGAAGCTGACTAAAACCCACCAAAACCAAGATGGTGATGAGAGTGACCTCTGGTCATTCTCACTGTTGCACTCCCACTGGCGCCATCACAGTTTACAAATGCCATGACAACGTCTGGATATTACCCTATAAAGTCTAAAAAAGAGAAGGCATGAATAAACCATCCCTTATTTAGCATATGATCAAGAAATAACCATAAAAATGGGCAACCAGCCGCCCTCGGAGCTTCTCTGCCTAGGGAATAGATATTATTTTCTTTCTTAATAAACTTGCTTTCACTTGATGGACTTGCCCTGAATTATTTCTTGTGCAAGGGCCAAGAACCCTCTCTTGGGGTCTGGATCCTGACCCTTTCTGGTAACAGTGAGATAGCAGGTCCACACAAGATACAGGTCACAAAGACCCCTCTAATAAAACAGTGTGCAGTAAAGAAGCTGGCCAAAATCTGCCAGAAACCAAGATGGTAAAGCAAGTGAACCCTGCTCATCCTCACTACTTATGATACGCTAGTTAAAATTCATTAGCATGCTAAAAGACACTCCTGCCAGGCGCCATGAAAGTTTACAAAAATGCTATGGCAACATCTACATGGTATAAAAGGAAGAGGAGCCTTCAGTTCCAGGAAATCATTCTCCTTGCCCAGAAAACCTATAAATAATCCACCCCTTGTTTAGCATATAATCAAGAAATAACCATAAAAACATCCTACCAGCAACCCTTAGGGCTGCTCATTCTTTAATTCCTTTATTTCCACCCCCCACACACACACATACCTTTTTTTTTTAGTCTTGCTCTGTTGCCCAGGCTGGAATGCAGTGGCACCATCTCTGCTCACTATAACCTTCACCTCCTAGGTTCTAGTGATTCTCCTGCCTCAGCCTCCTGAGTAGCTGAGATTACAGGCGTGTGCCACCACAACCGGCCAATTTTATATTTTTAGTAGAGACAGGTTCACCATGTTGGTCAGGCTGGTCCCCAACTCCTGACCTTGTGATCTGCCCGCCTCAGCCTCCCGAAGTGCTGGGATTACAGACATGAGCCACCGTTCCTGGCTTCCTTTACTTTCTCAATAAATTCACTTTCACTTTACTCTTTGGACCTGCCCTGAATCCTTTCTTGCAAGAGATTCAAGAATCCTCACTTGGGGTCTGAATGAATCAAAACCCCTTTCCGGTAACAAACTGAGCTTCCTAGAAAGGTTCTGAATATTTAAAGTGAAAAGGTCCTAAGAGAGTGGTTGAGGGGCTTGCCAGTAAACAGAGCCTGAGCTTTAGTCCCCAGGGTTCATGCCCATTATTTTGGCCATTTATAGGCTTTGTTGTTTACTTTTTAGTTTTTGGCTGAGATGTTGAGGTGGTGAGATCTGCTGGAGTGACATGTCACTGTGGTAAATACCACCAGAAGCCAAGGAGCTGGAAACCAAAAACAAAATTCTAAGCTCCTCAGCCAACTGAATGGATCCCTTCTCTCTGCCAACAGCATTCCAGATTTAACCTGGAAAACTAGTTTGGGCCATAATGGAGAATGGGGGTTGGACATGCCTCATTATACTCTCCTCACGCTGGGATTCAGGCACAGCTGACCAACATTAACATTAAAACAGAGACCTTGCCGGGCGGCTCACACCTGTAATCCCAGCACAGCACTTTGGGAGGCCAAGGCGGGCAGATCATCTGAGGTCAGGAGTTTGGACTAGCCTGGCCAACATGGCGAAACCCCATCTCTACTAAAAATACAAAAAAAATTAGCTGGGCGTGGTGGCAGTCACCTGTAATACCAGCTACTTGGGAGGGTGAGATAGGAGAATTCCTTGAACCTGAGAGGTAGAGGTTGCAAGGTTGCAGTGAGCTGAGATCGTGCCACTGCACTCCAGCCTGGGCGTCAGAGCAAGACTCTGTCTTAAAAAAACAACAACAGAGACCTTAACTTCAGGAAACAGAATTTGTCGCCCCGCAGGCTGGAGTTCAGTGGTGCAATCCCAGCTCACTGCAACCTTGCAACCTCCACCTCCCGGGTTCAGGGGATCTCCTGCCTCAGCCTCTCCTCACTGCAACCTCTGCCTTCTGGGTTCAAGTGATTCTCCTGAATTCAAGTGATTCTCCTGTCTCAGCCTCCCGAGTAGCTGGGATTACAGGTGTGTGCCACCATGCCCAGCTGATTTTTGTATGTTTGGTAAAAATGGGGTTTCACCATGTTGGCTAGGCTGGTCTGGAAACCCTGACCTCAAGTGATCTGCCTGCCTTGGCCTCCTCCCAAAGTGCTAGGATTACAGGCATGAGCCACTGCGCCCAGCCAGAAACAGACTTTTTGTAGCAATAATGTTACTAGAAACGGGTCCAAATCCAGACCCCAAAAGAGGGTTCTTGGATCTCACACAAGAAAGAACTCAAGGTGAGTCCATAAAATGAAAGTAAGTTTATTAAGAAAATAAAGAAAGAATGGCTATTCCCTAGGCAGAGCGGTCCTGAGGGCTGCTGGTTGCCCATTTTTATGGTTATTTCTTTATCATATGCTAAACAAGGGGTGGATTATTCATGCCTCCTCTTTTTAGACCAGATAGGGTAACTTCTGGATGTTGCCATGACTTTTGTAAACCGTGATGGCGCTAGTGGGAGCGCAGCAGTGAGAATGACCAGAGGTCACTCTCATCGCCATCTTGGTTTTGGTGGGTTTTGGCCAGCTTCTTTACGGCAACCTGTTTCATCAGCAGAATCTTTGTGACTTGTATCCTGTGCTGATCTCCTATGTCATCTTGTTATTTAGAATTCCTTTTTTTTTTCTTGAGACAGAGTTTCACTCTTGTTACCCAGGTTGGAGTGCAATGGTGCGATCTCGGCTCACTGCAACCTCCATCTCCTGAGTTCAAGCAATTCTCCTGCCTCAGCCTCCCGAGTAGCTGGGACTATGGGACTACAGATGTGCGCCACCATGCCCAGCTGATTTTTGTATTTTTAGTAGAGACGGAGGTTTCACCTTGTTGACCAGGATGGTCTTGATCTCTTGACCTTGTGATCCACCCGCCTCGGCCTCCCAAAGTGCTGGGATTATAGACGTGAGCCACCATGCCCCGCCGTTACTTAGAATTCCTAACTGTCTGGGAATGCAGCCCAATAGGTCTCAGCCTTATTTCACCCAGCCCCTATTCCAGATGGAATTGCTCTGGTCCAAACGTCTCTGACAGTAAGTCATCAAATTCCAGCACAACTCTAGTATAGTATCACATGACAGACAGCAGGCCCTGAAAGAAACTGAAGTATTTTACCCCAAAATATATTTCTTTCCTTTTTTTTTTTTTAGAAGCAAACGAAGCACAAAATTTATTTTAAAAGATGCTGCGAATTCGCTCATCTGCTCTAATTAACTCCTGTCCTTTGGGATCAGGTTATGGGCAATGTACACGAGCGTTTACCAGTGCAATATATATATTCTTCAATAGGTCTTTAAGGAACAGGTGGTATTTGGTTACATGAATAGGTTCTCCTGTGGTGATTTCTGAGATTTTGGTGCACCCATCACCCAAGCGGTGTACATTGCACCCAATATGTAGTCTTTTATCCATCACCCCACCCCACCCTATTCCCTGAGTCCTCAAAGTCCATTTTATCATTCTTAAGTCTTTGCGTC